GGTGATGCACTGTCCCCATTGCTGTTCTGCATAGGCTTGAACCCCCTCAGCCAGATAATCACAAGGACTGGATACAGGGACAAGTTCAAGAGTGGAACCACCATCAGCCACCTTCTCTACATGGATGACATCAAGCTGTATGCTGAAAGTGAATGAGACATCGACTTGCTGATCCATCTGACACAGATCTACAGTGAGGACATTGGGATGTGATTGAGACTGGAGAAGTGTGGCCGGATGGTAGTAAAGAGAGGGAAGGTAGTTAAGCCTGATGGGGTGGAACTACCAGTGGGCCACATAGCAGACATAGAGACCAGCTACAAGTACAAGTATCTCACATTCACATGGGAACCATGAGGAGGAGGCAAGGAAGACAGCAACATCCAAGTACCACTGAAGGATAAAACAGGTCCTGAAGAGCCAGCTCAATGGGAAAAACTGCCCAGAGTCACCCCACAGTGAAATGGGCGGTGAAAAATTTGAAATATAAATAAATAAAAACAAGATCCATGCTATCAACACGTATGCCCTGCCAGTTATCAGATACCCTGCCGGTATAGTGAGCTGGCCAAAGGAGGACACGGAGGCTACCAATGTGAAGACCCGGAAGCTCCTCACAATGTACAGAGGTTTCCACCCCAAGTCCAACACCCAGAGATAGCTGGAAAGAGGGCAGGTGAGGTCTAGTGAGTGTCAAAGCCACTGTCCTGGATGAAACCCAGAGCATCCATATGTACATCAGTAAGATGGCACCCAAAGATGAGCTGCTGAGAGAATGCCTGAAGCAGCAACAGACATGGGAGGAAGTTCAAGTGGAAGAAGTGCCATGGCAAGAAAAGCCCCTGCATGGGATGTACCATCGACAGATAGCTGAAGTGGCCGATATATTGAAATCTTATCAGTGGCTGGAAAGAGCTAGACTAAAAGACAGCACTGAGGCACTGATCATAGCAGCACAAGAACAGGAACTAAGCATCAGATCCATAAAAGCAGGGGTCTACCACACTAGACAGGACCCAAGGTGCAGATTGTGGAAGAATCCTCAGAGACAGTCCAACACATAGTGGCAGGGTGTAAGATGCAGTCAGGAACAGCACACACTGAACAGCACAACCAAGTAGCTGGCATTGTGTACAGGAACATCTGCACTGTGTATGGGCTAGACCCTCCCAAATCCAGATGGGAGATTCCACAGAAGGTCATGGAGAATAACAGAGCTAAGATCCTATGGAACTTCCAGATCCAGACAGACAGGCAGGTACTGGCCAATCAACCAGACATTGTAGTAGTAGACAAGGACCAGATGGTGGTGATAGATGTAGCAGTGCCAAGTGACAGCAACATTAGGAAGAAGGTGTATGAGAAGCTGGAGGAGTACCAGGGCCTGAAG